GTTCACAGCACCATGCTGGTCACAGTCGGTCGTAGTACACTCTGTGCGTCAGATCGTCGGCTCTTCCTGGTACAGCTCAGCGTGCCGCATCAGTGTCGAATGGAAGACAACCATATGTACAAGCTCGAGAAATAACAGCGATCTAGTGGTCAGTCTAAGGAGCGATAAAGGGTACGCAGTAAAACTCTTCGCCTTCGAGGTAGGCACAAGAAGGCTATTCTCAATCTCCACATAAAATGTACTAAAGCAGCCGGCAAGGAAACGGGCGCTAAAGCAAAGCAACTGGGCGGAGCTGCGGAAATATCTGATCGTTCGTCCACTTCTGAACTTTGATCTTGTTGCAGAACTTCGGTTGGTACGCTCCTCCGTCTTACAGATCCGGTGTATTCGTGTGCAGACTGTTAGTTTCTCGCCTCTGAGGCAGATGCGCTCAGGCTTCGAAGAGAACACCCCAAATTAGTTGTCTTTTACGACATGCTTGTTAGATGGCAGTGGTATTATTCTCCCCAGTCCTCTAGTGAGACCCGGGAAGATAGGTATGTATGTAGGTTGTACCCCACCAGGACATCACACAAGCGATAAACACCCGGTGACACCAAGTGCCACCATGCGGATGAAGATCACCCATGGAGAGGTCTCTAAAACCCCGTTCAGCCGTTAGTCCACATTTATGGCCTGGCTATATTTAGGGTCCCCAGTAAAAGCCGGGGGGGGGGGGGGGAGTAAAATAACTAAAAACTGTATCTCACGAGGGTTCAACGAAGATATCCCAGGAAGACAGAAATGAAATACGAATATGATCCAAACTTACCTGGACCATTTTGCGAGACACAAGAAGGTTAATCAGGGGTTTAGGAAAGACATTCCTGTCTGGGAAATCTGGACTAATAATTTTTTTTTTTTAAAGCACACTTATGAAGACAAAGGAACCCACAAGGACACTTCTCACTCGGAACGCACCACTGAAGGCCCAGTCAACCTCCAATGAAAGCCACATACCAGGGATTAAGCCAACAAAATGGACGTAAAAGACTCCACAGCCAAGCCTACAAGAAAGTTAGTACTAATAATTCGATCGCGTCCAAGCATTTCAGCTTATCGAAGCATCATCATCATCAATTTTTACTTCTGCTGTTAAGAATTGTGGGGAGAAACAGTTTGTAATCCGTTGCTTGATGGGCAGCAATGTCTTTTGTCATTCCGTGTTTGTGTAGAAGCTCTTTAATGTCATCAATCCATATCCTCCTAAGGTGAACTCTTGCTTTCACTGCAGATCTCTTCATGCGTAGAGCCTGCATTGGTAGCTGTATCATGGAAGCAGTTGCTCATAATTGCGATCTTTATTGTGTAGTGCTTGTTCTGATGTTTCTTGTGGTTTCGTTCAGTCACTCAGTTAGTCAGGCAGTCAGGTAGTCAGGTAGTCAGACAGTCGGGCAGTCAGTCAGTTAGGCAGTCAGTCAGTCAGGCAGTCAGTCAGTCAGTCAGTCAGGCAGTCAGTCAGGCAGTCAGTCAGGCAGTCAGTCAGTCAGTCAGGCAGTCAGTCAGGCAGTCAGTCAGTCAGTCAGTCAGTCAGTCAGTCAGTCAGGTAGTCAGTCAGGCAGTCAGTCAGTCAGTCAGTCAGTAGCTTGTCATTTGCAGAACCGGTGCTTAATTAATATCCTACCCCAAACAGGGAAAATCCACAGGTCACGGGACAGTCTAATATTTCAGGGGGTGTGATAGAAGACTCTTGCAGTCTCTCGTGGGACGTAGGTGGGATGGGATTAGGGCCAGTTCTAGATGTTTTGGGGTCGTTAAAGCATCAGAAAGCCGAGAAATTAAGTCTTACCACCCTCTAAAATGTTGTACTGCCATGTGATGTCACCTGGGGGGTAGGGTAATAATAGGGAACCGCAGAACCTTGCACCTATAACAACCTTCCGGAAAACTTCTCGATCACAAGCAAGATGTCTTCCATGGCTGTTATGGCTGGTTCCATTAGGGCTTGCAATTTGTGTATATGTACCACGCGAAATGTATAATTGAGACTTAGGATTTGTTCTCATGTAAACAGGCAGCAAATAATATCCCACAAGCGTTGCAGGCAGGTTCTCTATATGCAGTAGAGCAGCGTTTCTCAAACTTGTTCGCCGCGGCACTCTTTTCGGGCATAAGTATTTTCGCGGCACACCAACCCGGATTGGATACACGAAAAGAGTGCAAATGTAATGATCAGTTGTTTTTAAGGCAATGAATAGAACTGTTGGGATGAATTTTTCATTATTTCATTTATGTTTATATAAAGTTTTGTAAACTGTACCCTTAAATCACTTTAAAGTTGATCCTGTATCTCTTTTTTTTTTTAAATGTAAGCGTACGTTGAGAATGTACTACAGCCTTGTCAATAACATTGTTTTCTAAATACACCTGCACCCAGAACTCTTCTTGGCTTCCTTCATGGTTTTTCTGGTTTAGACTGCAGTCTTCGCTGATCTCAAGCAGATGTTGAAAAATTCTTGAATACTGCGGCGGCAACCATAGCCTACGCTCTTGACACCCCTGGATGCCACGGCACCTAGTTTGAGAACCTCTGCTGTAGAGAGATTCCAGGTCGGGTCAGGAGGCATTCCGATGGAAGCCAAGCTGTACGGCTCAGGGGATGGACACGCGTTAAACTACGGCCTTCACATGAGTCTCATTGAAAACCATTGGCAGGATGAACGAAGAGAAGCAGAAGAAGAAGCAACTTACCAAAGTATCTCACAAAGCAGTCGTAGTCCAGGGGGACATTGTTATCGTAGATCTTATGACGGGCAACGTAGACGCCAGAGTAGTTGCGTTCTGTAAGAGTACCGACATTTTGAAACTCTTGTGTGTAAAGACGACAATCGCAAATTACAACAGTCTAATGATGTTAAGTCAGTTGCGTATCTTTTGCCGGACGTTGCCCGGGCAACTTTTGTGTGTGGCTGTTGTGTGTTTTTTATGCAAATTTTACGTTCAGTAGTTTGCCACTGCCATCTGAATGGTCAGCTCTCGGCACTACTGTTGAAACCAACGCGAGACAAATCGTTCGCAGCAGGGATCGAACTTGGCACCGTAGCATTACAAAGCGCCTTCGCAACGCCTAAGCCACAGACGCCAACAGGGATGTAACGATCTATTAATACAGCCGGCTAATGGTACAGCGGCTGGGTAATACACCAGCGTGATGGTGCAGCAATAGACAGATGTATTATTGTAGTGACACAAAAGTCGAATAATACAACACTGTAATGATTCAACGATCGATTAAATCAACAATCTTATGATACAACAATCGATAAGCACTGCACTGTAATTACATATTATTTTCTAGAGGGTGAAATATTTTCTCAATTGTTATGCCAGATTAGCGAATAAGTCGATGAAGAAGTTGAAGGGGAAGAAGAAGTTGAAGGGGAAGAAGAAGAAGAAGAAGAAGAAGAAGAAGAAGAAGAAGAAGAAGAAGAAGAAGAAGAAGAAGAAGAAGAAGAAGAAAGAAGAAGAAGAAGAAGAGAAGAAGAAGAAGAAGAAGAAGAAGAAGAAAAGGGAGAAGAAGGAGAAGAAGAAGAAAAGGGAGAAGAAGAAGAAGAAGAAAGAAGAAGAAGGAAAAGAAGAAGAAGGAAAAGGAGGAGAAGAAGAAGAAAAGAAGAAGAAGAAGAAGAAGGAGAAGAAGAAGAAGAAGAAGAAGAAGAAGAAGAAGAAGAAGAAGAAAGAAGAAGGAGAAGCAAGAAGAAGAGAAGAAGAAGAAGAAGAAGAAGAAGAAGAAGCAAGAAGAAAGAAAAAGAAGAAGAAGAAGAAGAAGAAGAAGAGAAGAAGAAGAAGAAGAAGAAGAAGAAGAAGAAGAAGAAGAAGAAGAAGAAGAAGAAGAAGAAGAAGAAGAAGAAGAAGAAGAAGAAGAAGAAGAAGAAGAAGAAAGAAGAAGAAGAAGAAGAAGAAGAAGAAAACGAAGAAGAAGAAAAAGAAAGAAAGAAAGAAGAAGAAGAAGAAGAAGAAGAAGAAGAAGAAGAAAGAAGAAGAAGAAGAAGAAGAAGAAGAAGAAGAAGAAGAAGAAGAAGAAGAAGAAGAAGAAGAAGAAGAAGAAGAAGAAGAAAGAAGAAGGAGAAGCAGGAAGAACAGAAGAAGGAAGAAGAAGAAGAAGAAGAAATAGAAGAAGAAGAAAAAGAAAGAAGAAGAAGAAGAAGAAGAAGAAGAAAGAAGAAGAAGAAGAAGAAGAAGAAGAAGAAGAAGAAGAAGAAGAAGAAGAAGAAGAAGAAGAAGAAGAAGAAGAAGAAGAAGAAGAAGAAGAAGAAGAAGAAGAAAACGAAGAAGAAGAAAAAGAAAGAAAGAAAGAAGAAGAAGAAGAAGAAGAAGAAGAAGAAGAAGAAGAAGAAGAAGAAGAAGAAGAAGAAGAAGAAGAAGAAGAACAACAACAACAACACCACGACGACCAAGAACGAGACCAAGAGGACATAATCACCACATTCACGCCTGAACCTACTCGGCCTGTGAATTTCAAGAGTGTTGTTGGGTTTGATCTTGAAGTGTTTGTCGTTCTCCACCACTGTGTTGTTCTTGTACCAGTTAATGACACGTCCCAGCCTGTGCCCGGTGGCATTTGCGATATCACAGAAGAGATAGGCCTTCATGTCGCCGTAATGGAACTCCGGCTCGTGTTTATATTCTGCCATTAACAAATTTACCATATACAACAAACAAACAAACAAAACCAAAAATAAAATTAAAATTATTGTCCAGCTTTCATAATTTATTCTCCCCCGTGTGGGTTCCGGGCCCCATTGTGGGGAAAACAAGAATAGACCCACTGCCTCCCCAAAAGCATGTCGTACGAGTCGACTAATTGGGGAGCTTCCTTTAAAGTCGAAGTGCATCTGCCGGAGAGGCAAGGAACCAACAGTCTGTATTCAAGAGAATGAGATCTGTAAAACTGATGCACACACAACACTCAGGTTCTGGAGCACGACTGCAGTTCAGTAGTGGACGAGCAACCAGAACTTTCCGCCACAGTGTACAGCTGGTGAACGCAAAGAAGAAGAAGATAATTTATTCTTGAATAGGTAATCTGTCTCTTCTTCACGTTCAGTAGCTGTAAGCTCCGGCGGAAAGTTCTGGTTGTTCGTCCACCTCTGGACTTTAGTCTTATTCAAGAACCTGAGTGTTGCGTGCACATCCCTGTCAACAGATCTGATGTGTATGCAGATTGTTGGTTCCTTGCCTCTCAGGCAGATGCACTCTGACTTCGAAGGAAGTCCACACTTAGTCGACTTTTAGGACATGCATGTTGGTGAGGTTGTGGGTCTATTCTTGTTTTCTCCCGGATCCACTCGGGAAGAATTTGTGATAACATATTAATTCGGTGTATTAAACCGCGTCTGCAGTGTTGTTTAATTTTTTTTTTTCTATTTGGCCTCAATATAACAAAGAAATCTGGCTTGATATTTCAACATGCAGCATACAGTCAAAAGTTAAATTCAAGAGGATTGACCTCATTGCACAGGGATTCAACCCATATGGCTTGGTCCTTTTCCGAACAATTAGCCACCGCTTGAGACCTTGACACAAAGGACAAACGTCGTAGCCTCGGCGACTATTCCCAGGGATCTCCTTAAAAAACAGCACTTGTGAACTGGGCAACTGAAACGAACCGACGGCCCTCAGATCGCGAGGCAAAGAAAACTGACCCTCCAAAATGCAAAATCAAAATAAATGGGACAAACCTCAATCAAGTTGATACATGTAAGTACGCCAAAGAAGAAGCGCATGGGCATTTACAGCACGCTCAGCGGGCATAACAGTCAAAGAAGCCAACGGCGCCTTCTCCATGACAACCAGCAGCATGACGATGGAGGTGATGGCAGTGACGCAAGCGCTTGCCTGGCTTGAAACACAAAAATACACCCGCGTGTGTATACTCAGTGATTCAATGAGTATGATCTGGAGGGTTCAGGCAGGTTCAGTGCGAAGACAATGGCTTGAATCATTACAGAAGTCCACTGTGCGTGGAGTCACCTTTATTTTTGTTCCGGGACACGCAGGCGTCGATGGAAATGAAAGAGCTGACAGGTTGGCTGGATCCGCTATCACTACCGACGGTCAGCCTATGGATCATGCTGATATTATCAATGCCCTCAGAGAAATGGGAAGGATAGAGGACTTTGGTGGCAGTGAATCAACATCACTCGCCAGAATGGCAGACTTGGGAATTAAGATCGGTACAGCAAAAAACGAGACGCACACCAGACACGCCAGAAGACTTGTTAATCAACATAGAACTGGTACTATTAGCCATCGGACGTTGGGGTTCATACTGAGGGGAGGATCTGAGCACCTATGGACATGTCCGGAGTGCAATGGGGATAACCCAACTAACTAACTAACTAACTAACTAACTAACTAACTAACTAACTAACTAACTAACTAACTAACTAACTAACTAACTAACTAACTAACTAACTAACTAACTAACTAACATGTAAGTACTTGGGTACCCTGATAACATCAGATGGAAGGGTGTTAAAAAAGTTCTGTATAGCGACCACATCGCGAAAGATTTAGGGAAATCCCATATTATGGGAGGGGTGGGGGGGGGGTTAGAGTTAGTGGAAACACATAACCTTATTCTCGCGACCTATATACACACTAGGTCACTTCTTATTGGTAGTCCATGAGCCTTGTGGCCTTCGCACACGGTTTCGGGGGTGTTCCGCAATGCCGTTGATATCGCATATCATTCTGCACGCCAGTGCTTTTAACACTCCAAAAACATGAAGAAACTGGTCCTAACACAACCTCCCTAGAGAGTGCTGCAACCTGCGTCACAGGCATGCTCTTTCTCAGTATGCAAACGTAAATGCCCGACAACACAGAAAGCAAACAAAAAAGCGGGACACACCCGTAACCTTCAGGAAAGTGACCAGCCCAACAAACGTGTGAATGAAAAGTGACCTACTCTATTTGTGGAGATTTGCGTTATATTAACCAAGTTAGTGTTAAATGAATGGCAAATTTTCCTAAATCTCGCCTGGTGTGGTCGCTAAACAGACAAGAAGACCCTTACTAATTTTTTAGTTTTCATGTATTCAGTTTTTATGAACTGAAAATTTAACAGAAAAAGAGCTAGTAAAACTGGCCCAGTTGCCAACATTCAGAAGGTATTTGCTTTTTTTTTTCCATCCGTATTTTGTTCGTTATTTGAAGCCCTACTCTGGCTCCTGCCAGGGGCCGCAACATAGCCCGGCCATAAAAATGGTCTAAAGGCTGAACGCGGTTTCTGTGACCTCTCCACGGGTAATCCTCATCCACATCTCGGCACTTTGTGTCATCGGGTGTTTATCGCTTGTGTGATGTCCTGATGGGGGTAAAGGAAGATAGAAGACAGATAGACATTCAGAAGCTATCTTTTCATGGTTGTTTTTAAATGAAACAAAACAGTTGCATGGCTAATTTACCAGTGAGGTGGTGAAACCTCTCAGGTTGTGAGGGATCTCTGGTTGGGTTCATTCCGGAATCATAGCCAACAGCAAATTCACTGGGGTTGAGAGAAAATATAACGAGAATCAGCCACTTGAACTTCATGCTTCCCACTGTTGGCAAGTTAAACGTTGGCGTCACTTGACAACTGCCGGTGCTTCCTGTTCACTGTATACCCGAATAAAAATGTGCTCTTGAAGTAGCTCATTGTCCATTGTTTATATTTGAGGTCGTCTTCCTTGCACATTGGACATGACCTTAAGTGGTCCGATGTCCTCCTGGTTGTGTCTGCAAGTGTTTTAGGCTAAGAACCCCCATTCAGTTCTAGTTGATGTAACGATGGGCGGCTCCCGCATGGTTTTTATGTCTAGCGGTTCCAGCTGGTACACCCAGGGAAAGCAGTCTATTCATTTAAATATCATTTTCTACGAAGCTGAGAGCCTCACAGCGTTTAGACTCGTATGACATTGATGATGTGTCACTCCTGTACATGGACGGCCCTTTCAGAATAGTCTCACTGCCAGTAGTAGTAGTAGTAGTAGTAGTAGTAGTAGTAGTAGTAGTAGTAGTAGTAGTAGTAGTAGTAGTAGTAGTAGTAGTAGTAGTAGTAGTTGTTGTAGTAGTAGTAGTAGTTGTAGTAGTAGTAGTAGTAGTAGTAGTTGTAGTAGTAGTAGTAGTAGTAGTAGTAGTAGTAGTGGTGTGGTAGTAGTAGTAGTAGTAGTAGTAGTAGTAGTAGTAGTAGTAGTAGTAGTAGTAGTAGTAGTAGTAGTAGTAGTAGTAGTAGTAGTAGTAGTAGTAGTAGTAGTAGTAGTAGTAGTAGAAGTAGTAGAGGTATTAATAGTACTAGTAGTAGTAATAGATGTAGTTGCAACAGCGACAGCAGCAATAGTAGTAGTAGTAGGAGGAGAAGTAGTGGTAGTAGTTGTTGAAGCGGTGGTAGTGGTGGTAGTAGTAGTAGTTTAAGCGAAAGTATCTTGTTGGTTTTGGAATGAAATTGTGATGTGATGTGTTTTTATATTTTTAAGTATTTGTTATTAAAATTTGTTCAATACCCATTGGGTTGTTTTTTTTCCCCATTTGTAATATTGTTTACATAAAATAAGCCTTCATCTGGTTTAATCTTGGTAAAGATTCGACATTACATTTTTAGGCATCTGAGTGTAACCAGAGGGTCTGGACGGCTCACTACACTCAGAGGAGAGGCAAGGCCCACATATAACCAGATTGTGACTGGTACCATCAGTATATGATCTACTCTGCGCTGGCTGCTTAAGATGAGGACCGTTCATTAATGGAAATACTCCGAGTGCTGTGATTTCAGTTCTTGACTAAACAACTCAACTCAGCTCAAGTCGACACTACCCCCCGTGTGGGTTCCGAGGCCCCATTGTGGGGAAAACAAGAATAGACCCACTGCCTCCCCAAAAGCATGTCGTAAGAGTCGACTAATTGGGGAGCTTCCTTTGAAGTCGGAGTGCATCTGCCGGAGAGGCAAGGAACCGACAGTCTGTATTCAAAAGAATGAGATCTGTAAAACTGATGCACATGCAACACTCAGGTTCTGAAACAGGACTGCAGTTCATTAGTGGACGAGCAACCAGAACCTTCCGCCAGAGTTTACAGCTGGTGAACGCGAAGAAGAAGAAGAAGAAGAAGAAGAAGAAGAAGTCGACACTACAACATTCAGGACCCGCCCATTTTAGCCCCCTCTCGCTCCCGATTTGCAAGGAGAGAATCTCTATACTAATGGTGTCCGTTGTCATCTCGTTAGCTACCAGATTTGAGGTTTTGAACGACGGATCGACATTATGGCACACTGGTACCAGAAGAAGCTCAGCACATTGCACACGCTCTGATGCACCGGCGAGGATCCTGAAATACTTTGGATAGATTTTTAACTCCAAATTGTACCCGTTAGGCTACTCTTTTCGATCTTCAACTGCCAAGGGCTTTTTTACTTGTTACAACAATACACACGGACGTCCGATCTCACTACCCAGAGACCAGGGGGAATTACTAGAAGTCCAAGTCCACGTGACGAAATCCAAGCTCTTACCGGGGATTGAATCCGGAACCGCTAGCACTCGTGGCAGACATCATGCCTCGATACTACGCAGCCCCTCCGCTTTCCCTGTTAGCTACCAGTCTTGCCATTCTCTTAAGTTTCGAGAGTTTCCCCCCCCCCCCTCTCCCCGCTTCGCATCATCAGTCTCTCATCATCATCATCATCATCATCAGGTGTCTTGCCGACTGGCGTGGGCGATCATGCCTCTCCACAATCTGTGATCCCCTGCAGCATGTATCAGTTCTTGTGCCGACACACCTCCATGCCATGCAACAAGGCTGTCAAGAATCTTCTCTCGTTGTCTTCCTCCATGCCTCCTTCCACAGATCTTTCCAGTGGTCACAACAGGTTCTTTTTTCCCTCTTCTCATAACATGGCCGAAAAATGATGTCTGTCTCCTTCTAATTAGAATATTAACAAACAATTTCAAACCATCATTAAATGTAATAAATGATGAAAACGGTCATCCTTCTGATTTAGCAATACAGAGGCTAAACAGCAAGAAGAGTCTATAGCATAGAACCTGGAAGCAAGTTAAAGTTAACAATTTGAGATCGTGTATCTTTCCCATGGCAATTTATGAGTATGAGTCGTGGACTCTTACTCTGTCTTTGAAGAAAATGTGAGTTTTGAAGTAAAAGGCTACAGAAAAGTTCTTAAAATACCATAGGCCAAGAAGGGGTAAAAAAAAAAGAAAAAACGTGACCTGAACATCGGGAAAAACTGGCTAGCAAACAGCATCCTCTTCCGTAAGTTGGAGGTATTTTGGACATGTCAAACAGCCGTGGCGGTGTGGAGGCAACAATGATGGAAGGTGAAGTTCCCGGAAAACGACATAGGGGTTAAACTCCACAGATGTAATTAAAAGACAGTGAAGATTCGCATAAGAAAGAGACAAACACTGTTCTTTGGCTACATAATGAGAAGAGAGACATTGGATAACATCGTTACAACTGAAAAGATCAGTGGAAAAAGGGATAGAGGCAGACCAAGAGAGAAGATACTGGATAGGCTGAAACGTTGGCATGGAGGGATGTCATCAAGAGAGATGTTCCAGGCAACCAGAGATCGTGTTCTGTGGATACGCATGAGCGCCTACGCCAGTTGGCAAGGCACATGATGATGATGAGGAAGATTCGCTGCCTGTGAAGGCACAAAGGGCTGGAGAATTGGATAGAAAAAGAGAGACCTTTAGGCGTGCCGTGAAGAGAGCGACGTTCTGTAAAGGACTTGCTGATTGATGATGATGCAACTGACACATGCCTGGAATTTTTTTTTAAAAATCGGTTCGACAACTGAGGTGAGGGTGGGGGGTCTGGATGGTCTCGAGGCATGCCGTGAGGCCTTGAACGCCATAGGTCCCGGGTTCAGGCCTCGGTGAAGGTTGGGGTTTTTAACCACGTGGACTTCTAGTAATTTCCCCCTGGTTTATGGGTAGTAAGGGAGTCGATGTGTCGTTAGCGGCTAGACGCTCGCCTGCGGATCGGAAGGTCATGAGTTCGCGTCCTGACGAAGCCTGACTTTTATGACCTTGACTCCCAGGTCGACCTAGCCTTGCGTGGGTACCAGGTGCAATCCTGGGAAGTAAAGACGACCGGCGTGATGCTGACCACATAACCCACCAAGTACCAATTGGTCTATAAAATATAGGTCTGACTCTATATTCCTTCTTCTTTTTTTTTCTTCTCTTCCACCTTGTACCTCAGCGAAGTGTCGCGGGGAGATGTAACGTTCGTTGATGAGCTTTGTCAAGAGCACTATTAAGACTGATGTTCATTTCTGTAAGGCTGTTCTTTAAGCCATCACTCCATATTTCCAAGGTCTTCTACTCGCTCTATACCCATTGTAACGTTTTAGTGTGGCTCGCTGTGGCGGATAGTACGAGGGCTTTCTTGTTAGGTGTCCAGGCCACTTCATTTGTTGTTCTTTGATGACATGTAACATTAGGTTTATTCCTAGCCTTCGTCTGATTACGAAATTTGTTCACTTCGGTGAGATTCTTCAGGCTCAGTCTTGATTTAGGAGTATCGAGAACAGATATAAAACCGAACAGAAAATATATCTCATGAGCTTGAAGTACAAGTGGTTTGGCCACCTAACAAGAATGGTACTATCTACCACAACGAGCATCACTAAAACATTACAGCGGGTATAGAGCGAGTGGAAGACCTCGGAAAATATGGAGTGATGGCATTAAGAACAGCCTTAAAGAAGGGAAAATCAGTCTTAACAGAGCTCATCAATGAATGTTACATCTCTCCCCGACACTTTGCTGAGGTACAGGGTGAAAAAAGCAGAAGAAGAAGAAGAAGAAGAAGAAGAAGAAGAAGAAGAAGAAGAAGAAGAAGAAGAAAAAAGAACGAACGAACACACGAACTTTATTTTCGAAGGGTCACAAATTGGGCACGCAGGAAAGGAAAATATATTCTTCTTACATTCGGCTCTTCCGAACACCCGTCTTTCACACTGCAGTTGTATGTTATCAGTAAGCATGTTTGTATTCATTGAATATGCATATTATGAATATCAAGGGGGAAAAAAACACACAAGAATGCACACTAGCGCACGCACACACACACACACACCCCACTTACTTACACACGCAAATACACACACACACACACACACTTTCACACACACATAACACACCCCTGTTCACGCACATTTATACCTACCTACCCACACATGCACGCACATTCCACACATATATACATACGTACATACAGATACAAACATGCAAATACAGACACACCCACAGAAACAACCGTACACACACAAACAAACACACATACGCACACAGACCCAAATACACACACAGGCAGACACATAGACCCGCAGACACACATACATGCACAAACACACACAGATGCAAATACACACAGATACACGCACACAGACACACTCGCAGATACACGCAAGCAGACACACAAACACACACAAGCGCAGACACACACGTATAAACACA